CAAGGTAAAGAGAAGGCTGATGGTTCTCTAAGAGCGTTGTAAATCTGGTTTAGTTGCTTAAAGGTTTGGCAACGGCCTGGTATTGATATGATGAAACATATATTTCTGTGTCAAGTCATTTATCATTCATACTATTTTGTCAATTGCAACCTCCCACCATTGGCTTCTTCATCAAATTGATGTGAAGATCGTATTCTTCCATGGCATTCTTAAAGAAAACGTTTGCATGAAGAACCTCATATATTTGATAATTCTGATTATTCTTTACATGTCTGTAAACTCAATATTATACTCTTAAACAACTCCCTCGAGCTTGCTTTCAACATTTGATGCCCTTTCTTTCTACTCAAGATTTCATCTTAAGTAGAGCAAACACTTCTATGTTTATCTACAAGCATGATTTTCATATAACTATAACTTTATTGCGTGTTATTGACATCATTTTATCTTCTTCTTCTACTGATTTGTTATAGTCTCTTCTTGCCAGATTTTTTCTAGTGGAGTTCTTGATGATTGATTTTGTCATTCTTCATTGTTTATGGCCATGTAAGTTTCTCGTAATAGCGAAGGCCTTTTCCTTGACCAATGCTAAAAATTTATCTGGTGGCCTTATATGAAGGATTGGAAACCGCTTTCAACTCCTGCTAATCTCGTGGTCAAATTGGCAAGCATACTAAGCTCACACATGTTACTTCGTGTAGTAGTATTAATGGGACTTCGCAATATCTCCCTCTGACTCACCCTAAGATTTCTTTTCCTGTCAATCAAGCCTTTTAGCACATGGATGAATATTGTGGTGACCATTTTCAGGCTATTAAGCATACTTTACCCTACATCCATTGGACCTATCTTATGATCTCCAACTCTTTTCTTTTGGCTCTTTTATGCATCTAGTATGATACTTGGATGCCAACTAGGTGGGTTGCCCTGAGATACTGTGGGATCTTCATAGTGGTACTAAAAAAGGAAACTGCAGTCTCTCATTCAAGTCGAATCCAAAAGTTTAGCCCCGCAAAGAGGGACTACCACTAAAGTCAAAGACACTTGGTCTTTGATTGGATTTTATTTAATCCATGTATACTACTTACTATTCTTGTATTTTTGTATCGTTAGGTTTCTATACATCCTAATCCTTTGTAAGCTATAAATAACAAATTGATCAATAAAGAAGAACCATCCCAGAATTATTTTTTGCACCTGTTATATATACATATACATATATATATATATATATAGAGAGAGAGAGAGAGAGAAGTTATTAAGATAATCTTTCCTAGGTCGATAGAGTGAAAGCCGAAAGTTCAACAGATCGATCCATTTTAGCTTCTGATTTTCTTATGCCCAAGAAGTTGGAAGTATTCTATTTCAAAAAAAAAAAAAGTTGGAAGTATGAATTTCGACCGTAGATCACGTGCAAGATTATTATAATTTGTATTTCCCGTGGCTTCCCTCTGTAAGATCCGGTGGATTCACGAATACAATTTCGGATATTCAGCCCATCAATGACATACTTCTGCTTTTTCACAGTTAATAGCCTTCCAAAAGCACTGAAACTCATTTAAACTCTTACGCTGAACTTGCCTAAAAGGCTTGGCAACAGTCAGCGCTGCCGCCAATAACACAAGTTATTGAAAAGTGAAGCCTTGTATACCTCGTCTATATTTAAACTCTTACACTAATTTCATATAGGAATAAAATAATACTTGCCATTTTTCAACTTCTATAATCCGAAATCTTCTTTAAATATGCTATTTAGCAAGAAACAAGAGCAGATAAGGAAGTTAATCACCTATCCCGTAGCAGAACCATTCCGCCTAAGCCTGCAACATCTCTAAGAGCTGCTCTCCACTTCTCCACCTTCTCCATATCCTCTTTAAAACGCTCTTCGTGTTTAGCAAAAGCGTCGGCAAAATTCCCCGTCTGTTTCCTGACTTTGGACGGATCCACATAATGGAATACAGGGATTACAAAATGCTCTGAAGTACTCGATCTTCTTCGCTCCATGATGATTACGAGCTCATCGAGGCACCACCGGGAGGAAGCGTAGTCTTCTGAGAGAACGACGATGGATATTTTTGACAATTGGATTGCAGTTTGGAGCTCAGCCTCGATATCCTTGCCCCTCTCAATCCCGTCGTCGTCCCTGAAAGTGTGGATACCTGCCTGCACTAAAGCTGTATAGAGGTGATCTGTGAATTTTTGGCGCGTGTCTTCACCCCTAAAGCTCAAAAACACATGATACGCACATCTTGAGATTGAAAGGGATGGAGTTCGCTGGGCAATTGCAGTGGTAGCTGCCATCGATGATCGAGAAAATCCTTCTACAGAAGCTCCCAAATTTGAGGCGGATGGATTCTTAACATCGAAGGTACAAGACAACTGATTGTTTGAAATGTTCCTCGAAATTGTTTGATTTCTTGTACTTGGAAAAATGGATAGTTTGAATTTAGTCAAAGGCGTGTGGGGTAGAATATAAATGACAAAAATTACTAAATTATTTAACAAAAATTATTAAATTAATTTGTAAAGCCTGACAAATGGAATTGTGATTGAATTTGAAGTAAAAAGTAAAATAATATAATTATAATTTTTCACTATATAGTGGATGAAATTTTAAAATAAATTATATTATATGAGTTGAAAAGTCTATACAAAAATAAGTTTTGAAGTCATTCTTCATTCTATTGATAGTAAGATCAAGCGCTTAAAAATCGTACTGGTTTTTATTTAAAGATTTTAAATTCATTAATAATACATAATAGGAATATGTTAAAGATTTATTTCGTTATCTAAGTTAATTATTGATTTAGTGCATTTACAATTTGTTCTATGAATTTTAAAAAATAATTTTAATTAAAAGTTATTTAGTATTTAACGCAAGTAGTTATAAAATTTTTTTAAAAAAAATTAAAACTGTCTTTTTAACAAAAATAATTATTAATCATAGTTTCGCTTCTTAATAGTTAAAAAAATATAAGAAAAGGTTAAAAATAGTTGTCTTTTTTAATAAAAAATTTTAAAAAATATAACAAAAAAATTGTTTATCTAGTTAAAAAACTATAAAAACTGAAATAATTAAAATTTAATAAAAAATTAATTTAAATCATTATTTTTACATGTAGAATATGTATATTACATGCAATATGTTATATAAAATAAATTATATTATTTGATACCATAACACAAATGATGGATGGATTAAAAATCACAATGATTTAAATTTTAAAATTTTAAATTCGACACAGTAAGAGAAATAAATATGTTAAACACTTTCGTGATGTAAACTAATTATTGATTCAATTTGCATGACATTCCAACATAAAATCAATCAATTTCAATTTAACTCTCTCATATAAAGCCGAAGCAATTTAAGGCAATGTATCTTAAAGTAATACACTAATTGATAGTGTGCATAAATATAATTTTTGTTACTTAATTTGAGTGCACAATTAGATCATTTACTACTTTACTTAAGAAATTTTGTTGATTTCTAATGCAGATGTAAAGATAGGACTCCGCTCCTGAAAAATAGTATAGTTGAGCTGATTTTTGCACAAAAAAATTCATCAATACACAAGTAAACCTTAGTTAAAGCTTGCATCCTAGCATTGTCAGTAGATAGTAGTTGTTTTTAATTGGATTCTTTCGAATTCTAAATCCAACCATTATCCGGAGATGAGATGCTAAGTCAAAGTGACATTTTTAAAAGCGAAAAAATAAGACCAAAATTAGAAGAAGACTCTATCTTCACAATAATTAATCGTTATTTTTTCTATTCTTTAAATACGGGAAGATTAGAGAGGAAAGGGCAAACATAATTTTCTTTTGAGTTTTTGCTTTTCTGTAAGTTTTCTCCATTAGCTTTAAGTAGTTACTGGTGTTCAATATTTAAAATGAGTAGCTAGATACTCTATTTTTTAGTTGAAAGTCTAACTGAAATTTCAATTCAAGAACTGTGAGATCGAATTAATTTATTCTTTATTCTTTTTTATTTTCAGTATTTATATATTTTTTGTGTGTAAAAAAATTATTATTTATTATATGTTACAACAAGCTCTGTTGTGCAATTAGGATAATAGTGTATCGCTAGTCAGGATTTCTAAATCCGTAATCGTTCAAGTTATTCTGACAACCAATGGTAAATTTGTGTTTACACTAAAAAAATATAATCTAATCTGAATGAACCACGCGGTTGAGTTTATGGTAGAATTAGGTCTTTTTACTTCTTAATGCTATTAGTGAATTGAACTATAGGAGCATCTCTAGGACTGTTCATTAGCAATTAACGAGTGTCTTTTTGTTAATTTAAAATTTAAAAAAGATTGGTTAATTTAAAATCAATGATCGATCCAATGAATTAAAACTAAAATTATTTCTCTGACTAGAATTTATTTATATTGATTTTTATTTTATCTAATCCACTAATTTATTTTCTGTTGATTTATTTTAATCTTTTAATTGTTTGTTTTTAGTTCAAAAAAAAAAACTCTCATATTTTATTTTTATCTTATTTTAACTGTTAGTCATAAAAAGATATTAGATCTCAATTTTTTGTTAATTCGACTTTATTTATTACTACTACAATTTAATTTATTGTTAGAATATGAATTTATTTTTAGTAGATTCAACACCATCAAATTTTGTCATCATTGCCAGTGCATTGAAGTTAAATTAATTTAATTCTTTTTACGACCAAGTTTGATAGTGAAAAACCACTTCTTTACGATCTAGAAATTGAAAAGACCGCTTGAAACTTGAGAAAACAAACTAAATTGAGGATAAAAGAGTTAGAAGTCACAACTTTAGAGTGTACTCAAGACACAACCACCAAATCTGAAGCAAAAGAAGAGTAGATGACAGGCCCGTGTCTACCAAACAACAGCTCCTTTACATCACTTGTCTAGCCTCAAAAGTGGTGTTTGAATTGAAATTTAGGCTGATTCATTTATTGCTCAAATTTCAAGGATTAGAGAATGAAGACCCTCACAAACATCTCAAGGAATTTCATACCGTGTGCTCAAGTATGAAATCATACGAAATTTCTAAAGAACAAATAAAATTAAGGACATTCTCTTTTTCTTTAGATAATGCAGCTAAGGATTGATTATTCTATCTATTTCCTAGTTCGATTATTACAAGGGCGGATATGGTAAAAATATTTTTATATAGATATTTTTTTCGCCTCTAGAGATACTAGACTAAGGAGGAAAATATGTGGGATAAAGTAAAAGAATAAAAAAAGTCCACAACTATTGGGAGAGGTTCAAGCAGTTGTGCGCAAGCTGCCCATAACATGACATTTTGGAACATTTCCTCATTCATTATTTTTACAAAGAACTGCTGCCCAAAGAGAGGAGGATGTTGGATGCGGCTAATAGTGGTGCCATATTGAATAAAACACTTCGACAAGCTAGAAATTTGATAGTAATCATAACTGCTATTTCACAACAATTTGAAAACAAGACACCCCAAGAACGGTGAATGAAATAAATATACATTCTCTTGAATCCCAAATTTCACAACTAACTAATTTAGTACGAAAAATAATTGTAGGTAACACTCAGCAAGTTATAATTTATGGAATTTGTGCGTTGTCCGAACATCCTATAGACATGTGTCATACATTTCAAGAAGATGATCAACAACATGTTAATATAATAAGAGGATTTCCCAATCAACCACAAAGGTGATATGACCCATTTCCAACACTTGTAATCTGAGATGGAGGGATCATCCTAACTTTATTTATGGAGCAAGACAACAAAATTTCTAACAATACTAGTCAAGACCACCTCCACAATAGTAACCACGATCTCTAAAACAATGTATCTCTCTTGAGAAAATTGTTAAATCACTTACCACTAATACCCAATAATTTTAAAAAGAGACAAGAGCAAGCATCTAGAATTTGGAGACCCAAATAGTCAATTAGTAACATCTTTGAGTAAGCTGGAATCCCAATGCAAACTTCCATTTCAAATTGAGGTGAATCCAAAACAAAATTTAAATGCTGTCACGTTGAGAAATGGTAAGGAATGCTAGAAAATCCTTGTTGATAACACGTGGGCAAGGGTTATGGAAAGACACAGAATTAGAGACTGTTTTTTATGATAATGCCTATGGCGATAAAGATAAGCCCGATTCTGGCTAGCTAGTATTGTTGACAATTAGTCTACCATTTTCAGAAAAATTTATAAGATAAAAGAAGGAAAAAAAAAAGACAAAGAGATCATAAAAACTTCTCACAAGGTCGAAGTAAATATTTATTTACTCGATGCAAATAAGTACGTACCTTGATATGCCAAGTTTGTAAATGAGTTGTGCACCAACAAGAAAAAGCTAAACTAAAATAAACAAGTAAGTGTGAGGAAAAATATTTGAGCTATAATTCAGATGAAACTACCCCCAAGTGCAAAGACTAAGGTATGTTACCTTTTTTTATAATACAAAATAGACACTTTAGGTATAAAGAAAACATGTGTGATTTAAAAGCATCAATAAATGCCATGCCATTGTCTATTTACTCAAAATTGAATGCTGGTCCATTAAAAGAAACGGGTGTCATAATTCAACTAATTGATAAGTTGATCGTTTATCCTGAAGTAATTTTAGAGGATGTGTTAGTTCAAGTTGATAGTCTCATTTTTCTTACTAATTTTTATGTGTTAAACATGGAAAATAATAAATCATTTAATTCATGTGATCTTTTGTTATGAATGTTTTTCCTTAGTATAACTAAGATAAGATAAATGATGGTTGTCGAATCCACCAAAATAAAATCCTGATTATTCGACAAAACAAAACTATAGTAGTGATAAACAGAATTAAATCTACAGGGAATTAGAAACTGAATTTCTTCCTTCACCAACAAATGAAAAGTAACAACGAGATTTTTATAAGATTCAATATTAATCATAAAATGCAAAATATAAAATAAGAATCATACAAAACAACTAACAAAACTTTTTTCTGCAAGTTAAAAAAATATATCGATTATAAGTAAGATTCTCAGTCAACGGAATAGCTAAGCTTCAGTTATTTAGTTGACCATATATGTAAGGATTAGTTTTATTTAAAATGCAGTAAATCAGATATAGTTATTGAAAATATTCCAACTACTAATCCTTTCTTAATCTTAAACCAACCAAGAAACGTTCATTAACTAACTTTCGCTGAACAAACACTCTTGAGCACTTTCTCAGGATTTAATCTATCAACGGCCTTGGGAATTAGAAGAACCTGATTCAGGCTGTCGAATTCATCTGCGTGAACCAGTTAGATAGATTACTTACCTCTTCAGTGTGACACTGATCGCCACTGGTTACTAATATTGCTTAAAAAGTACGAATTTGAATGGTTCAGCTAGCTGCTTGCTGTTTTGTCTCGCGTCCAACGAGCCTTGTTCAAACTGATTCAAAGACAACAAATATA